CCTCTTCATTCCTTCTTCCCTCTATTGATACCTTTCACTCCAGATCATTATGGCAGCAGGGATGTAGAGGCATTTTACCCCCCATCCAGACTCAGTTGTTGGATTGGCTCTGCAGAAATCAGTGGGGCATTACTCAAAGAGGTGCTGCCTTGGTGGGCTGCTGTCAACAGACCTGGGGGTGTATAGAAACAAGGAAACCGGCAGACCTTGAAATCCGGAATAACAGCCAGAGAAGAAAAAACCCCCACAGGGATAAAAAAGTGTTGATGGTGGTTGTGAAAGGCAAGGGTGAATCGAAGGAGAACACACTGGGCAAGCCTCAGGCCAGCTGCTGGCTTTCCCAGGGATGGATCAGGACCACCTCCTCCTCCATCACAGCACTGCAGTTTGCAAAGGACAATACTTCTGGTGCAAAGTCTTCAGTCTTTGTGGATGAAACAGGCTGTGCAAGATTCCAAGGTTATGACTCAATTCCATCCTGTCAGGGTGATAGTGTTGGGCTTCAGTTCTCCTTTTACAGCTTTCACAGGAAAAAAGAAAAAAATAAATAAAGCTAGACCAAGAAGCCAGATAGCATTTCTCCTGAGTATATCAAGTCCTCCTCACTGCTATCTTGTATCAGTTGTTTGTTGTTGTCTCATCAAAGTCTCTCCTAGAGAGAGAGAGATGAAACCCTTGTCTCTTGCCTGCAAGGGGTCTCATCTCTTATCAACCAGCACTCAGAGAATCAACCCAGAGCAGCTGAATTATGCTGGGTGCTGAGAGACCGCCCTGATAAGGATTTCAAGGCACAACACTTGCCAGCCTCGATCTACCTGATTCAAATACCCAAACAGGAAGGTTTTCTTGAAACAAAGCCCAAATGACTGAACTAAAATCTTCGGGGCAGAAGAGCAAAAGTGAGTTGACCTGCTCTGTGTGGTACCTGAGAAACTTTGGTTTTCCCCCCATTCTTTACAGATGTTTCCCCTGTAGAGGTTGCGCTTGCTTTAAAAATGAGCTGTCGTGTGTCTTCTCCAGTTGCAGCAAAAACGACTTGGCATTCTTTCTATTTTAGTATATGAATAAGAATTGTGTAATGATTGAACACATTTCTGAGAGTTATACTTCCAGTATCACCTGAATGAAGTTCTGTATGTGCTATAAAGTTGTATTCTCTACTGTGGGCTGCTTTACTCCCAAAGGATTTTTCCTCTCATGATGAATCTTCTCACAGAGGAGAAACAGGAAAAAGATGGAGATGGAGGGGTCCAACAGATAGAATTCATGTGAAAAGGCTAGCTATAATTTTCTGTAGGAGAGACAGAGAAGTCTGCTGTTAATAAGTGTGAAAACATTCAATCTCTTCTAGTCTCTGCTGGGTAGAGCTAGGAGTTATCCTGTTTGGTTTGTAACCTACTTAAGAACCTTTTTATGAGTTTGAAGACCTCTCCTTATACATTTTGGGCATCTCAGTGGTTTGTGTTGATATATAAGGTGTCTGTATGTGGTTTATATTATTTATTTATTTTGTTCCCTTTTTCCCCCTCCTTAAATAAGGAAATATCTAAGAGTTTTAGATTTGTATAACTTTCTTGCCTTTTATTATGTGATGATGCCATCTTGTGGAAGTTGCTGAGAGCAAAAGTTGGAAATCACACCTAGACCATATTAACAGGTTCTGTCACTCAGCAGGAGCAGGTTTGTGAGATGGAATAGTGCAGAGGATCTGCAGTCGGTGTATTTCAGGTGAGGTACTCCAGTTTGGTCTGTGGCTGCCCTTGGCAATTATCATGCATGGCTGGGACCATACCTTTCTGGAGCAACTATCTCCTATTTCCATTTCAACTGAAAGGAATTCAGTTCAAGTGTTCCACCATCACCCACAGATGAGGTAGCTCAGGGATATTAACTTCAAAAGCATGGCAATTCCTCTCCTTATCCCTATTTACTCCTCACCTGAATTCACATGACAAAGTAGACACACCCTTAAAGCCTTGATAACAAGATGAGATGGTAAACCAATGGGATTTTGTGCAGGCCCTGGAAAGGATGCTCTTTTGTCTCCTAGTGCTGAGGGTTAGTGCTGTTAGAGGGTTGCGCTACCCTCCTGCTCTGGCTGGGAAGGTGTGCCTGAGCCCAGGAAAAGGAAGCCACCCTAAAGCTCTTCTCCAGCTCTTGTCCCATTGGAGTACATTGTCGCCTGGTTTTCTGGACTGATACCAAGGCAGCCTCCAAGAGCTCGCTCACAGAAAAACCTGTGTCTGCTCCTGAGAGTTGAAACTTGGCTGGCAAAGCTGGGGAACCACCAGTGTTTTGGGGATCGCAAAACAGCGGAGGACGAAGATCTTGCTGGAGCAAGATACAAGAATTTGGTGAGAATTGACTACATAATTCAGTTGTTCTAATGTCATTAGGTTGAAATCCTGTTTTGACTTGGATCACGGACTTAGTTAAGAGTTGCTGTCTTCACTGAATACTTGTTTCCATAAAAAAACCCCCAAAAAACAACAAACAGCTGGTCCAGTTACTTTTAAATCTCTTCTGTTCACTGAAAGAAAGCATCTTCAAATGAAAAGGCTGTAATAGAGCAGCAGAGCCCTAAACTGACTCTATTCCATGTTGTGATGTACTGAACCTATTTATCTCTCTGACAGTCAGCAAGCCAAAACCCTGTGACATCCTAGGAAATACTTTCCCATCCCTACAGTAATATATACCTTTAGAAGGCTGACATAATTGATTTTGTTGTACTACCTGTGTGTGTGAGTGAGAGCTCAAACCTTAAAGCAGATGCTACTTTATGGAATTGCACATTACTATTTGTTTGCTTGTCTAAACACAGATCCTTAAAAGTATTTTAGTTTCTCACCACTCACTGCTTTCAGCACTTTCAATATGTAGGCAGTAATTTTGTGCGTTGTTTTTCTATAATACATTTAATTTCTATGCTGTCACCAGATGAGTAAGCTTTCATGGGTGTCTGCTTCTTGCTACCAAAATTTTAGGGTAACAAAACCCCTTATTTTCTTGCCTGCAAGCAGTGCACCACCTGATGTGTTGATTTCCTAGTATGGGAGATTTTCCATGCTTCTAACCCTAAATAACCTGGTGATGATGCTAGAGTCAATTTTTAACGAAAATCAAAATAATCAGACTCACTGGGCGAAGATTTCTTTGTAGTTTGATATCCCTGAACCAAGAAAAAACAGCTAAATAAACCCCTTTACCAGTCTACTTGCATTCTAAAGCTCCTGCTGTTGGTTTTGATGCCTATTTCACATGGTGTACGGAGTCACTAGGGTTAAATACTTGGCCGCGTTTACTTTGCTCTGTGTAGTTTTTTGTGATTGTCTGCAAAGGGTGTTGTGGCATGTGGCAAATTAGCATAAGCTTCACTGATTGAGATCAGGCAAGTTGTAGGAGCAGTTGTCCCTCAGACTTGGGGTGTAGGGTGTGGTGTTTGCCCAGAAAGGGCAAGGAGGGGAAATGAAAACGGAGGAATATGCTTGCACTTGCTTTGAAAATGTGGATGTCTGGTTTAAAGTGAGCATGGGAACACAACAGTAAGGCTATCAGGGAAGGACTGAGACAGGCTACCCGCAGCAGCCAAAGAGGTGGCTGTGGCAACAAGAAGAGACTTGACTCACCCAATACCTGCAGAGACAACAGGCAGGCTGCTGTGCTCTTTGATTAGATTAGGGCTGCACCTAGATGCAGGTTTGTCAGCAAATTAAAAAGCAACAGGGACTAAGACACCTGAGGTTTTCCTTTATTCACTTTAAAATGCTTCATTGCTCCACTTCATAAATTAATTTCAATAAGCAATTAGGGCCACAAGCCAGAATGAGAAGAGAACGGTAAAAAATGTACAGATTTATATATGCCTAAATCTGTTTGGCTGGATGATGTCCTTCCTGGAGTGTGTAAGGATTTGAGGTAATCTCTGAGTTGATGTGATTTACCTTCAGGGAATGGTGACAGACTTTGTCCCTCTGCTCACCTGTCCCTAACAGGTAAAATTGGAGGTTTAAGGGAATTGTTGATGAATCGTTGTAACTTTGTTTGCTGTGAGAAACAAATTAGTTATATGCTTTGCAAATGTCTAGAAAGTAACAAGAAAATGGGAAAGAAACATATTTATCAAGTTTGACCCATATCAAACTGATATAATTTTTTTTTTTTTATAAAGTTATGGTTGGCTCAAGGAGAGAGTAGAAAATCCTTCCTTTGAATTTTGATAGGGTTATGATAATGTCCTAAGCGATATTCTCATAAGGAAGCTCATGATAGTAACTTGCAATGCACATTGAAGCTGCCCTACACTTTTCCCAGAGGGTGAGCTGCAAGGGGATGAATCTGGATGAAGACACTCAAGGTGGGGAATTGATCATACCCAGACAGATCCTCAAAGTGTGCTGGGAGAGTGACTGATCCCATGCCACTGCAGTTACCAGGTCTGAGCTAGTGGCTTCCTAGTGCCTGGGTCAAAAAGGGGGGGGGTGGGGGTGGTTAAGTCCTGAAACCCATGCTAAAATGAAGTGAGAGTCTTGGCATCCAAATTAGGAGTTGGGGACGTTAATGCCAGATCTGGCTCTGATAACAGAACTCCGGAGGCTCCTTATCTCAGCATGTGGGAGAATACCACAAGAGGTCATATATGGTTGTGTGGCAGGGCAGGACCCTGTCTGTAACATGCATTTGGGCCTGGAATGTGGTACTGCAGCTGGCAAGAGTCCTGGCTGTGGCACAGTCCTATAGTCTCTCTGCTGCTCTGGGATGCCACCAGCTAGGACCTGTTGATCAGTATCTTGCCAGATGAAGCCATGGCGGTCCATCTGTGGTTCCTTCAAAGACCCTGCTTGCCACTCCCTGCTGCAAAAAACCCTAAACCCTGTGATGCCAGAGACTAAAGAGCCTCAGCCTGTGACCTCCATGGCCATTTGGTATGTAGTCCTCCAGGAACAGGTCCTGCTTGGGGTGATGCTGTGGTTGGTGCAAGGCAGAGAATTATGACTTACTGACTGCCAGGACAAAGATGGCAAAGATACCAATCACCTGCCAGAGGCGCAGCCCCCAGATCACCACCGTCTCCGAAGTGACAGGGTCCGGTTTCTTTTTTGGGGGTTCTGTGGTAGCCTGGGAAAGACGGAGAGAAAAAAAAAAAAAAAAGGGGTTTAAAATTTGCAAGGGTTGCTAAAACAGTCAGAAGGATGCCACTAGCATAGGATGATTTGGAATGGAATTTCCCAGTAATCTGGAAATCTTTGAGGAACAGAGACTTCATTAAAGAGCTTGTATCTAAAGCTTTGCTGTTCAGAAACTAATCTGAAGTATTGCCGATTTTTTCTTGTTATTTCTTAAACTTCCAGCTTTGTTTGAAGGATTCATCTCCTGGGGTCAAGGGCAAATTTCTTATATTTTGCATTCCTATCTTTGAAAAATATTTTTAACACTCAGCTGCGAAGTACAACATGGCTTTTTTCTTTTTCTTTTTTCTTTTTTTTTTTTTTTTGAAAAAACCTCTCCACAAGTTGCAATGCAGAGGTGTCTTCTCTGCTAAGGCTAGATGAGAAGGGAAGGAGGAAAAGAGCTAGATATTGGGGCGCAATGAGAACCAGCTGTTTTGTGAAGATGGGAAGCTGAGGGGACAACACAAACATCAGGGCAGGGGGCTCATCAGAAAGACCCCATCCCAAGGGGAGCATGGTGAGCCCAGTGTGACAGCCAGGATGAGCAAAGAGCCCAGGTCACCAGACATGTCCATAGTCATGAGGGAGGTTCAAGGGTCAGCAGAGCTCATGGCCAGGCACAGGTAAGGCTGTAGTTCAGACAGGGACCAAAAACTAGATCTTTGGCTTAAAACAGCTCCCACTTGACAGGGATCAGCCCTTGCACTATCTCTCAGTTGGCCTCAGCAGCCCAGCCTCAAGGAGGAGGATGCTGTGGGTATCTGGAGAGTAATTTCTGCCTTTCTCCTGAACCCTGGAGAAACACTGCAGAAGAACTGCTGTGTGAAATGGGACAGAAGTTATTGTCTGTGAGACAGCAGTCGATGCTGACCTTTGGTGGCTTCTTTCTATTTTTCTCTTCATGCTGTATTGCATGACCTACCAGGAGACTGGTGCAGCTGCTACCCTGGCTCAGGCTAGGATTTTGGTGCTGAAAGCTGTTTGATCTGTTCCCCTTCTTGGTGCACATTCCCTTCCTGACCCACCATGGGTCCCTTTTTCTCTGCATGGTAGCTGCCAGAGTCTATAGCTACCCCACTGCCTGAAGGAGCAGTGCAGGAAGGGACCAGGTAACTTGTCTGCTCTGCATTGGCCCTGCTACAGCTGCTATATGGGGAGAATCATAGAATGGTTTGGGTTGGAAGGGACCTTAAAGATCATCCAGCCCCACCCCCTGCCATGGGCAGGAACACCTTCCACTAGACCAGGTTGCTCCAAGCCTCATCCAGCCTGGCCTTGAACACTTCCAGGGATGGGGCATCCACAGCTTCTCTGGGCAACCTGTGCCAGCGCCTCACCACCCTCTCCAGGAAGAATTCCTTCCTGATGTCCAATCTCAGTTTCCTTTTCTTCAGTTTAAACCTGTTACCCCTTGTCCTGTCACTCCCTGCCCTTGGACCCCCCCCCCCCCCCAGCTTTCTTGTAGGAGAGAGGATTGGACTGTTGGCAGAGATGGCCCTGGCCAAGCCTGGCTCACCTGCCCAGCAGGCAAGGCTGGCTGCGGGTCTGCTGCAAGAGAAGATGTGAATCCCATCTCCAGTTGTTCTGCTGTGGAGCTCCTCCAGGCATGTGCCTCTGTGGGCTCATGACCAGGCCCTGAAAATCTGCACTGCGATGCCTCAACCCCGCTTTCTAGAAGGGGAATGTTCCTCTGGAGGGGGAGGAGGGCTCAAACTGGAATAATCTGCAGTTCTGTGGTGGTGTTTCACGGTTTGGTTTTGAAGATGTGTGTATGTGTGGGTAGGATTCATGCTTTTAAATACAGGCATGTAGTCTTGTCTGGGGTGTTGTGGAGTATTCTCCGTGTGTCCACCCAGCAGGGCTCGAGGAGTGGAATCCAAAAGCCATCAAAAGAGACTTCAGGGCACAGGGGCGAATGGTTGCAGGATCAGGAGCACAGGGAGTGTGCTCCATCCCCTTAGCAGTAGGGAAGGGTACTGAGATAAACAGGAAAGCACACCTGATCAACATGTGACTCAGAGGCTGGTGTGAACGGTGGAGCTTTGGGTTCCTTGAGCATGGGGAGGTTTATATGGTACCAGGCCGGCTGGCGACAGATGCTGTCCAGCTGTCTCAGACAGGAAAAAGGATTCTAGCCCACAAACTGGCAGGGCTCATTGATAGGGCTTTAAACTAGGTTGGAAGGGGGAGGGGGGCAAAAGCGGTAGGGGCAAGAAGAGATGCCCAGAGCCTGAAGAAAAATCACAGGTCACCAGGAGAACATCAGGCAAACAAAACAAGGGAATTTTAGGCACTTCAGCGTGCAAGCCAGCTTCATCAGGAGCCCATCTGCAATGTCTCACTGCAAATGCACAGAGCATGGGGAATAAACAAGAGGAGCTACAGGCGTGAGCACGCATGAGGGGCTATGACCTCATTGGCATTGTGGAGATGTGGTGGGATGGCTCCTATGACTGGAGTGTCATATTGGAAGGTTACAGACTTTTGAGGAAGGACAGGCAGGGGAGACGTGGAGGGGGTGGCCTCAAGGCCAGGCTGGATGAGGCTTGGAGCAACCTGGTCTAGTGGAAGGTGTCCCTGCCCATGGCAGGAGGGTTGGAACTGGATGATCTTTAAGGTCCCTTCCAACCCAAACCATTCCATGATTCTAGACTTCATAGCAATGTTACAGAAGTGACTTCATCGTCCCTAGGTATGAAAAAAAATTGGTAAATCTTATATCTACACCTTGCACTGTCTGCCTCGTGTCGTATGACTCTCAGTTCCTTAGTTTCCCCACTGGTAACAGAGGAACATTGCTGCTTCCCTGCTTTTGCCTGAGATGTTTTGAAGGGAAATTCCATGGGGATTTGATTACAGCGACAGGTACTGGAACTCATCTGTAAGTTCAGAAAGGACACTTGATTTAAATCCCATTGCCACTGGGGCATGAGGACCTGATGGACCCTTGAAGGGTAGGACAGTGTGCAGGCAGTAATTCCCACATAACATATTCAGCTTTGCTGTTTTGACAGCTAGAGGATATGGGGTGGCTGCATTTAAGTACTGGGGATTCAATCATGCTGCTTTAATCCTGTACCATTAATATCAGAGAGCACAGATGTCAGGTTTCATGAAATGCAAGGAAAAATGGTTCAAAATGGGTTATTCCGGGCTAGAGGCTGCAGTTCCGTAGCCAGCACTCTGATTCTCACCGCTCCAGTAGCATGAGAGATTCACAGCGGAAAGAATATACCTTTGTTAGATTAAACAACACAGACAGCATCAAGGAGTTAAAGTTTAGACCAGGGATCCCATTGCTTTTATATCTATATAAAAGTAGCGGTAATGAGCAAACAGCTGTTTGTAATGAAGAACTGAGGTGAGGGCTATACTCTGAGGGCCCTTTCATTACTTCAGAACACGTTAAATGTGTAGAGACAGTTCAGCTGTGCTCTGAGTCCAGGTGAAATGTACTGGCTTCTCTTGGTTTTGCCCTCAGGTGAATAAATCACTAGACTGCCTACTGGCAAGCTGGTTCTGTTTAATTTCTTTGCATGTTATAGCTTACAAGTCCTTTCTGTACTTTCATCCATATATATGAACATTGTTATCAGGAAAATAAGCAGGAGGCATGATACCAAACACCTCCGTTCCTTAAAAAAAATCTTTATTTTTACATGTGGACTTTTCCCAGCTTTTAGTGTACTTTTTCTTTCAATATGTATTTATTTAGGGAAATCAATTTTTTTTAGTGGTGATCTCCATTAAAGAAAAGTCTTGAAATTAATTAGTAATTAATTTAAAATGTAATGTAAAAAAAACGGAGTGATCTGATATTTTTCTTCATTCATAAATAGAACCTTTTCTAAGCAGTCTTGCTTCTGTATTTTGAGTCACTAATGACAAGTTTGACTAGTGAAACCTGCTGTTAAATTGTCTTTTGGATGTGGCGTTAAGTCTGGTTGTCGTTCAGGAAAGCATGTCTTAAGCAGTTAAGTTATTCAGGGTAACAGGGAGGCCTTTGAATTAAATTTTGTGGCTTGTACTGTGGCTTGTTCAGCCTGGAGAAGAGAAGGCTCTGCTGGGGAGACGTTATAGCACCTTCCATTGCTGGGGGGAACTTTTTACAAGGGCCTGTAGTGACAGGACAAGGGGTAATGGGTTTAAATTGAAAGTGGGGAGGTTTAGATTAGATAACAGGAAGAAGTTCTTCCTGGAGAGGGTGGTGAAGCACTGGGTCAGGTTGCCCAGAGAAGCTGTGGATGTCCCATCCCTGGAAGTGTCCAAGGCCAGGCTGGATGAGGCTTGGAGCAACCTGGTCTAGTGGAAGGTGTCCCTGTCCATGGCAGGGGGTTGGAATTAGATGATCTTTAAAGGTCAGAAAAGATGTAATAATGTCCTGTTTAGTGTGTGTTGATTAAAAAGAGAGGGTATTTGGGTGAAGAGGGGAGTGTCTGATGCAGCATGAACAGTACTCTAGTTTCTCAGTCCTGAAAAGGCTCTAAGAGTGAAGTGTAAGGTGGGAATCGGAAAACAGATGAAAAAAATGAATAATAGAAAGCCTTATTTTGTGAAGATGATGTGAACTTTCCTTATGTAGTTTAGTGGTGATTTGGTTAGTGCTTCAGATGTGGTGAATTGCAACCCAAGCTCCACTGACTCGTGAGAGCATCTTCAACATCTATGTTGATGTCTGAGGCAAATAGCCTTACGGATACTTGCCTCTTAGAGAAGAAACTTCTCTGGAGTGACCGTTTAGATGAAAACTGGACAAGTGCTTTATGGCCTCCGTAGTAGCTAGGTGTTGGAAAAACAAGGTACGGAAGTCTCACTGCAGGTCTAGTCCTTCTTGTGTGCCTCAGTTTCCCATTTCTGAAATGGGCTTGAGCACGTTTTACAGGTGCTTAAAGAGGACAAACGTTACTGGTCAAATAAGCTGTCTAGACCAACTCCTGCAGTCCCGGT